GGTTTGATTCCCCACTCCTCCACTTGCACCTAGCTGGATGACCTTGGGCAAGCCATAGTTCTGATAAGAGCTGTCCTTGAAAAGGAGCCGTTTCTCTCAGAGCTCTCTCAGCCCCACCTACCTCACAGGGTGTCTGTTGTGGGGAGGGGGAGGGAAAGCAGTTTGTAAGCTGCTCTGAGACGCCTTTGGGTAGTGAAGGGCGGGGTATAAATCCCTTCTCTTCTCTTCTCTTCTCTTGCAGCTCATGCTGGGGATGAGGGGGGTCAGGAGCCCTTTCTCGCACAAACCGAGGTGTGAACAAGTTGGGGGGCAGAGGTGACATTGCCAGGCCTCATTCAGTTCAAAATAGGGCCTCCCTTTACAAAATAGTGCTGATGGTACCGGGGGTGTGTGTCCCTAAATCCCTAGCAATATTTGCAAAACAGGCCAGAATGAATGCAAAACATAAATATGCCCTCATTTCCCGGAAGTGGCCCAGGAAGATCTGCATGTTCTCTTCCTGCGGCATTTTTGATGTTTATTTGCAAGGATTCTGAGAGAGCTGATTTTTCCTCATTTACACCAGGTTATAAGACCATGTCCCGGGCTTTGAATAAAACCGGCAGAGGCATCGTGTACTCCTGCGAGTGGCCGCTCTACCAGAAGTTCATGCAGAAGGTAAAGAGGGCCGCCTGGAGACTTCGGTGCTTTTCCTCCCCACTCTGGGAAGCCCATACCATGGAGCAAACCTATGGTAGGCAGGCCTAATCCGCGTCTGGATTTGAAAAGCATGCCGCAGGGGTAAGGATACACTGGGACAGATCAGTGGGTGATCACACTGACCCACCCTCCTCTGTCTTTTCTGCAAGGCAGTGACCATACCTGGACCTATAAAAAAGAGCAAGAGGCCAGTAGCACCCGAAAGACTAAGAAAACTTGTGGCTGGGTATGAGCTTTGACGAGTCACTGCTCACTTCTTCAGATACTTCTTCAGCTGGCAGGAAAAGGGCTCTCTAAGTGTTCCCCCTAAGCTGAGTTAGTGTGAACTAGCTCACAGTTTTTTAGTTTTTAGCCTCCAGCTCACACATTTTTTTTGCCTTAGCTCAGGAAGGAGGGCTCCAGAGCAGACTCATTTATGCAGTAGCCCAATCACCCACTCGCAGCTTTAGTGCCAAGTGCTCACAAAGTAGAATTTTTGCTCACAAGAGTGCACGGCTTTAGAGGGAGCACTGGTGGTGACTCACAAAAACTCCTCCCCTGCCACAAAGGTTGTTAGTCTTCAAGGTGCCGCTGGGCTCTTGCTCTTTTCTGCTGCTACAGACAGACTCACACAGCTACCCATCTCGATCTATCAGAACTGAACCTGTTGATTAGCATTTTTCAACTGAAAAACTCTTGGAGCAGGTGGCTGTCTCGTAAAAGGTCGGGAAAGGGCCTTGGCAGAGTTTTGGGGAGGGGCAGCCAGGTGGAGCCCCTTCTCTCATCCTTCCGTGCCTTACAGACTCATGGGAGGAGCAGGAAATGGAAGAAGGGGGAGCCGTGTTGTCACATTAGACTCGCTTTTGCCTGTTTGGCTCTGGCTTTCTGGGGCGGCTTAAGCCTGCTGATCAGAACCCCGAGCCCTGGCCTTAAGGCTGGGGCCTCCTGTCTTGCAGTGGGACCAGCTGCTGCACCTCCCCTGTTTGGAATGGATCAATGGGGTGGGGTCTAATATGGAGCCTAACAAGGGAGAATGAAAGGATCAGGATAGCGAGCCTTTCTATATTCAGTTGATTTATGGGACACAAAGTGGCTGACGTGGTTCTCTCCTCCATTTTATCCTCAGGACAACTCTGTGAGGTGGGTGACTGGCCCAAGGTCACCCAGTGAGTCTCCATGGCAGAGTGGGGATTCAAACCTGGGTCTTAGTTCGTGTGAGCTAGCTCACAGTTTTTTAGCCTCTGGCTCACACTCTGGCAAATGCATTTATGCAGCAGCCAAATTGCTCACTCACAACTTTAATGCCAGCAGCTCACAAAGCAAACTTTTTGCTCACAAGACTCCACAGCTCTGTGGGAGCATTGCTCCCAGGTCCTATTTGGACACTCTCCTACGCGAAGTAGTTTTTGTCCACTTTCTCAATATCCCTTGGGATTATATACCATCTAAAAAACATTTTGTACCAGTTTTCTCTTAATGCCTGGCTGGCTGTAAACTTAATTTCTTTTTCCCATAACCATTCCCATTGATGCACAGGTATCTGCTCTCTAAAATTCTGTGTCCATTTAATCGTACATTTTTTCACTTCTTCTTGTTTCTAACGGAAATCATAACTTATGCATCCATTGTAGTAAATGGTCTTTTTGTTTTATAATCAGCTGTTCAGACTCAGTCACCTCTCTTAGAGTTCCACCTTCTGTATTGATATTCTCCCTCTTCTGCTTTTAACTGTGATAATGTAATGGTTAAAAGCACAGTCTATGAGCTAGCAAGCCCCAGCTTTTCCACTCATAGCTTACCACATTAATGTCTGTGGGGACTTTAGATAAATTCTTATGCCTTCGTTTTAGCCTTCTGCCTGGTAAGGTGGAACCTGACATCCCAGACACTGAGCTTAGCATTACTGAACCAGCTCAAGAGCCAGAATGTTGGGCTGGGAGGTAAAAGGCAAAGGTTCCCTTGCTCGAAAGCCAGTCGAATCCGACTCTAGGGTTGCGGTGCTCATCTCCGTTTAAAAGCCGAAGAGCCAGCGCTGTCTGAAGACGTTTCCGTGGTCATGTGGCCGGCATGACTAAACACCAAGGCGCACGGAATGCTGTTACCTTCCCACCGAAGTGGTCCCTATTTATCTACTTGCACTTTCTTGCTTTCGAACTGCTAGGAGAGGGAAGACTGATTCAAATCCCCACTCAACAATGCAATTCACTGGTGACCCTGCACAAGTCACTGTCAGACTAACATATGTCATGTGGGGCTGTTGCAATGGTAAAATGAGAAGCAGAATGCTGCCTCGTGCCCTAAACTCCTTGGAGGAAGAGCAGGGAAGAGAGTTGGATGGGCAGCAACTTTGTTGAGTCGTTAAAAAGGATTTCTGAGCGTGTCTGATAAAGCACCCAGGAAAATTGTAATGTCTTGGGTCCTTCCACGAAGCATGTGGGTAGCCATGTTGGTCTGAAGCAGCAGAACAGTTTGAGTCCAGTGGCACCCTTAAGACCGACAAAGTTTTATTTAAGGTACAAAGTGTGCATGCACACTTATTCAAGGTATAAAGTGTGCACGCACACAAAAGCTTATACCTTGAAGAAAACTTTGTTGGTCTTAAAGGTGCCACTGGACTCAAACTTCAGTCTTGGGTCCCGGCATCCAACCAGGCTATTCCACTCAAACAATAGCATCTTTGGGTTCAACCATTTTCTTCCTTCTTTCCACCCCTTTCCCATTGACAGCCCAACTACACTGAGATAAAACAGTACTGTAATTACTGGAGGAATTTTGCTGATATCTACGACGCTTGGAGTAGCATCGGGAGTATTCTGTATGACCGCTCTTCATCAGGACAACCTCACCAGCGTCGCTGGGCCAGGGGGCTGGAACGATCCAGACATGGTGAGAATATGTTCTGTCTGTTCCAGAGTCTGCTTCTATGCAAATGACACGAGGGCTCCATTCAAGCATGACGACAAAAAGCAAACCTTTCCACCAATAAATAGGTGTTAAAAATGAGTGAAACGGCTTAGGCATGCTAAGTGTACCTAGCCTTGCTCTGAATGGCCCAGGCTAGCCTGAACTTGGAAGCGAAGCAGGGCCAGCCCTGGTTAGTACTTGGATGGGAGACCACCGGGGAAATTCAGGGTTGCGATGCAGAGGCGGGCAGTGACAAACCACCTCTCTTCGTCTCTTGCCATGAAAACCCTACAGGATCGGCTTGATGGCAATTTCCACCACCAAGTGTACCTAACTCTGTATTGGGTTGTGCCCGTAAAAATATTACAAAGCCCTGGGCCATGCTCAGCAGCTAGTTTAATGGAATCATCATGCCAAAATCGGACCACTGGCAGAGAGCCAGTTTGGTGTAGAAGAAGAGAAGAAGAGATTGGATTTATACCCCGCCCTTCACTACCCAAAGGTGTCTCAGAGCGGCTTACAAACTCCTTTCCCTTCCCCTCCCCACAACAGACACCCTGTGAGGGAGGTGGGGCTGAGAGAGCTCTTGACAGAAACTGCTCTTTTTCAAGAACAGCTCTTATCAGAACTAGGGCTTGCCCAAGGTCGTCCAGCCAGGTGCAAGTGGAGGAGTGGGGAATCAAACCCGGTTCTCCCAGATTAGAGTCCGCGCACATAACCACTACACCAAACTGGCTCTCAGTAGTGGTTAAGAGTGCGGATAATAATCTGGGACAACCGGGTTTGATTCCCCACTCCTCCACATGCAGCTGCTGGTGTGACCTTGGGTCAGTCATAAATTCTTTCAGAGCTGTTCTTTCAAGGGCAGTCCTCAAGAGAGCTTTCTCAGCCCCACCTACCTCACAGGGTGTCTGTTGTGGGGAGGGGAAGGGAAAGGAGTTTGTAAGCCTCTCTGAGACTCCTTCGGGTAGCGAAGGGTGGGATATAAACCCAATCTCTTCTTCTTCTTACTACGGTGGCTGCCTATATCACACACATTAATTTCTCCTGTGCATGGGCCTGCCAGCTGTTTGTGCTCAAGAGCTGGAGGATTTGTTCATGGGGTTTCCAGCAACTGAGCTCCAGCTTAGTTCTGCTTTGTAAACCAGACCCTGGTCTTTCCACCTCCTAGCTGGTGATTGGGAACTTTGGACTGAGTTGGGACCAGCAGATAACACAGATGGCACTCTGGGCCATGATGGCAGCCCCGCTCCTCATGTCCAACGACTTGCGCCACATCAGTTCAGCATCCAAGGCCCTGCTCCAAAACAAGGAAGTGATCGCCATCAACCAGGATCCTCTGGGCAAGCAGGGATATCGACTCACCAAGGTAGGACTCGTTCACTTGGGCTCCTCCTTGCAGGGACACGGCCCCATCTTGATGTTCCTAGCCTTTCTGCTTGAGCCAAAATGAGAACAGTGATACTTGCATTTGATTAGACCCCCAAGATGCTGTGCCTTAAGGAGACATGGTATGCTCTTAGGTAAAGGTTTCCCTTGCTCGAAAGCCAGTCAAATCCGACTCTAGGGTTGCGGTGCTCATCTCCGTTTCCAAGCTGAAGAGCCAGCGCTGTCCGAAGACGTTTCCGTGGTCATGTGGCCGGCATGTCTAGATGCCAAGGCGCATGGAACTCTGTTACCTTCCCACCGAAGTGGTACCTATTTATCTACTTGCAATTTCTTGCTTTCGAACTGCTAGGTTGGCAGGAGCTGGAACCAGAGACGGGAGCTCACTCCGTCATGTGGCAACTCGGGTCTCGAACTGCTATACTCTTTAAGTTGTCTTAAAAATCCAGCACAGTGCAGTGAATGTGAGATGTGAAGCCCCCAAGTTCTAATCGCACTCGGGGTCTGGATTTATTAGGTAGCTGCTTGTTCTTTTTTTTTGGCAGTCTCCCCAGCTATTACCTGCAACTTTATGGTATGACAGTATTATTTGACGTACTGCGATGGTATGTAAAGCCACCTAAAACTAGATAGACGCCAAGCTCTGTTCTACAAATTCTGTGAAGTATCTTAAAGATATGGTAAGGAAGTTCTTAAAGGCCCATCAGATTTGGACATTGGATTTCGATAGATCCGGCACCACGCAACTAGTCTGCTGTTTCACCTTGATGGCAGACCAAATTTAAGAGAGTGTGCATTCTTGTGGTTTATGAAAGTTGCATATAGCAGTGTTATTGCTGCTCCTCACGGATCTGCCATGTCTTCTCTTGTAGGACTACAATGGCTTTGAATTGTGGGAGCGGCCTCTTTCGGGTGGGGCCCATGCCATAGCCATAATGAACCGTCAGGAGATCGGTGGACCTCAGACTTACAGGGTCTATCTCGCCTTCCTTGGGAACGGTTTGGCTTGCAACCCTGCTTGTTCTATCCAGCAGATCCTTCCCACCAGCAGAAATTTGGGGCTACACAACTGGGTATCGTCCTTCAAAGTCTTGGTGAACCCAACAGGTACTGCCCTGCTGAAGATTGTGGTGATTAAGGAAAAACGCTCTCTGGGTATCTTATAACATGGCTCTTCGGAAGAACCTTTCTTAGGGAAGGTCACCAGCAGTTCTGCTGGAAGCTGAAGTCTCAGAAGATTGAACCACTTTTCCCTAAGTCTTGTGACTGTTAACCGTTGAGAGATTGTCACATCTTTTGAGTCGTAAAAATGTTTTCTTCCTCTGTGCTCCACCCCATCCCCCCAAAAAAACCAGGTGAAGAATGCAAAAGTGTGTGGTATACTAAGCAATGGCTGCTACTCAAACTCAGTGTTGTAGGCAGTTATATGAAACTGAGAAGGACAGGTGTTGGAGCGGAGTACTGAAGTGCTCTTCAGTCGCCTGAAACGTGCCATCCTGCAAGCTGCTGTTTGCTCAAACGACACACACAACCTTGAGCACAGGGAGTGGTTTGTGAAATGTTTAGGTAAGCTGGCAAGTGGGCCTGAGATGAGATTTCATATTCTTGGCTCCTCCCAAGGTTTTTTTTTTAAGGATATAGGTTTAATGTGCACAATCTGGATTCTTGGAAGCAGAGTATCTACACCCTACTTATTATTCAACTAAGGGTTCAACCCATGTTACCTTTGTAGTAAAACAAGTCCTGTAGGTACCTGTTTCAACCACAGGGGATGTGGCACTTAACTCAGCTGGCCCAGGTCTCAAGCTGCTAGACCTTAATGAGGAATTCCACCTCAGCAGGTCTGGGATTCCTTTTTGCTGCCTCCACGGGGTTGTGAGTTAATGGTACATTTGCCTGGTAACCTGCACCCGACTCAGCCTTCTCTCCAAATTAAGAATCACATGGTATGGGGTTATTCGCTCGGGTAGGTCTTTTCCCTACCATCTTTTTGTACACCTGACTCCCATTACGCTTTATATATGAGAGCCACGGCCAAAAACCAATTTCAGGAAAAAATTATTTGAATAAGCAGTTTTATAAATGTGATGAAACTCTGACCTAGATAGCCCAGGCTGGCCAGATCTCAGAAGCTAAGCAAGGTCAGCTCTGATTAGGAAGTCCATGGGTCACTATGTAACCCTGAGCTAGCTTGGCGTAGTGGTTAAGAGCAGCAGACTCTAATCTGGAGAACTGGGTTTGGTTTACCACCCCTCCATATGAAGCCAGCTGGGTGGCCTTGGGTCAGTCACAGTCCTCTCAGAGCTCTCTCAGCCCCACCTACCTCACAGGGTGTTTGTTGTGGGGCGAGAAACAGAAGCCGATTGTAAGCCGATCTGAGACTCCTTAGGGTAGTGAAAACTTGGGTATAAAACCCAACTTTTCTCTTTCTTCTACGCAGAGGCAGGCAATCACAAACCGCCTCTGGACACCCTTTGCCTTGAAAACCCTACAGAGTCACCATAAGTCAGCTGTGACAGGACAGCAGAGAAAACAAATAGGATAGAGGCAGACAGAATAATCTTTTTCCAGGTTCTGTTCATTTTACCATCAGCTGCCTTTTCCCCTCCTTGAGGCTGCACATAACTCTCTCGGAGGTCCTCCCCACCAGGTGCTCTGATATCATCATCAGTGTCTTGCTTTAAACAAAGGACAGCAGTGCTCGAAAAACAATGTACAGGCCAAGTTTTTTTCTTAGAATGTATCTTGAAGGTCAAAGAAGACGGGGACGGCAAAGGATGAGATGGTTAGACAGTGTCATAGATGCAACGAACATGAAGTTGAGCAAACTTCAGAGGACAGCGGAAGACCTGGCATGATCTGGTCCATGGGGTCGCGAAGAGTCGGACTCGACTGTGCAACTGAACAACAACCTTGCTTCCTGTGACTGCTGGCAGTGGAAGAAAGTTCCCCTGGCTAACTAGAGTTCTTAAACTGTTGCACTGCAATTGCTGCTGTCATGAACCAGTCAAGTCGAGTGCCGGAGCCTCTTGATCAGCAGAAAACCAAAGTCGCATTTAAAATGTTATGGTTCTAGATTATGTTAATGAAATGTGTGTATGTATATGGAGTCATTTTGTATATGATGAATACAGATCTCACTGGTGTAGATGGCTTCAAAGAAAAATGCTGTGCAAACCATACTCAGCAGCTGTTATTTTGGGGATTTTCAAGTCAGTAGAGAGGGAGGTGGGAGATACTATACCGTGGGCTCCTGCAAGGGAAGAAGAGGGGTATATGGAATGGATTAAATGAGGACCCACTTCTAGTTAAAAGTGCCCTTTAAGGCCCAATCCACCTGCTCAGTTGAGTTGTCCCAGTGTAATCTTGGCTTGCCCTGGTAGTTTCCAGTTGACTTCAATTGCAACTGACAAACCTCCAGGTGAGTAATCATGCAGAGATGTATTAAGAGGTCTACCTCAAGCCCTGCCATCTCCACCAAAGCAAGGTGGAGTGTTATGAGGCAGTTCAGTTTCATATCTGGGTTAGAATCATAGAGTTGGAAGGGACCTCCAGGGTCATCTAGTTGAACTCCTGCACAATGCAAGAAATTCACAACTACCCCACCCCATACCCAGTGACCCCCACTCCATGCTCGGAAGATGGCAAAAAAAAAAAAAACCCTCCAGGATCCCTAGTCAAACTGGCCTGGAGAAAATTGCTTCCTGATATAATTATATTGTTAGTCTTGTGGGAGCAAGGCAAAACATGAGGGATACCTAACCGACTAAACCGTTGTAATGTGGAAAGTCTTGGCCTCTGTGAGTGGGGCTATGCATTGCAACTTTTCTCCCTCTTAACAGCCATTCACCATGAGGGGATGATTGGCACAGAATGGAAAAGAGAAGAATACAGGCATTTGGGTCTCAAAGTTGGCTGGTGGAGGTTAAAAAGAAAGATAACGGAAGTGGATCAGTGGGGCTCACGTACACCTGATAAGCTCCCCTCAACAGCAAGCACAAAATCAATCTGCAACAGGAAGGTGCATTTTCCATTGGATTTTAATGGGTTCCACAGCAAAAGTACAAGCTGAATGTCTAGAACTGGATGACTTGGCCCTGGGAGAAAAAAAGACAAAAATACAGACCATGAACATGTGTCATTGTCACTGAAAAGGCAATTTTTATCTTGATGTGTGTGAACAATGGAGAGACAGGTGGGGACTTTAAAACTAGGACCTGCCAAAAAGTAGCCCAAATCACCACGTTTGGGGGCTCCCCCCGCAAACGCATACCATGATGTGGGCTCAGGACAGGGGCCTACCTTTCTCTTCTTGTCTCCTCCCAGTTCAAAGTGCTTGCACCTCTTAATGGCCAGCATCCTCTTGGACCTGCAGTTGGGCTCCACGCACTCCAGCCTCAGCACGATCTTCTTTGTGGTCTTGGCCTAGAACAGGAGGGAAAGGATGCCATCCATATCCACGCAGGGCCCAGGCAAAACTGGCAACATTTTGCCCCTCTTTGGGAGCAGGCCTGCAGGGAGCTGAAAAGCTTGCACTGTGAACCCTGATGCAGACAGCCAGTCAGTGAAAGGGAGGGAGATGTAGTTATGGCTGGTGCCTTTAAAACAAGACTAGGCAAGTAATTAGAGAAGTCATTATGACTAATGGAAATGTCCAGAAAAAGCTTACCACTGAATACCAGCTGCAGAAAAGCAATAGCAAGGGACGTCTCATGGCTGGTTGGCCACAGGATGCTGTATTAGATGGCTTTGCTTGATCCAGCAAAGCTCTTAGAAGCCCCCACAAACCGCAAAAATGAAGGTCTGCACGCTCTGACTTTCAAACGTCCCTCAGCCAGATGGCCCACTTTAACGTTGTCAACACACACACACATGCACCGCTCCAAACTCACGAAATTTCCACAGCCTTCCAGTCAAACTCACCTTCTTGCGGAAGATCGGCTTTGTCTGACCACCATAGCCACTCTGTTTGCGGTCATATCGTCTTTTTCCTAAAGGGAAGAAGTTACATCACTGAAGTGAGGAGCTTGAAGGGAATACCTAATAGTCACTGTCAGTGTTCCCTCTAAGCTGAGTTAGTGTGAGCTAGCTCACAGTTTTTTTTTAGCCTCCGGCTCACACCTTTTTGTCTTAGCTCAGGAAGGGATGGCTCCAGAGCAACCTAATTTATGCAGTAGCCAAATTGCTCGCTCACAACTTAATGCCAGTAGCTCACAAAGTAGAATTTTTGCTCACAAGACTCCACAGTTTAGAGGGAACATTGGTCACTGTATCACTAAACAAAGAGTAAAGGGCTGACCCCAAAGTCAGGCCACCCACAGACGAGATGGGACGACATACTTGGGACTCTCCAAGCATGCAGAAAAATATGACTTTGTTAAAAGATAACACACTCTGGCTTCAACATGCTCCAGGACAGACTCATGAGAATTTGTTAAACCTACAGTAGAGGGTAAATATCAACCTACCCAATCCTTTAAAATCAGGGGTGTCGAACTCAATTGTTATAAGGGCCGGATCTGACATAAATGAGACCTTGTTGGGCTGGGCCATGTGTGTCATAAAATGTAATGCCAGGCGGCGGAGGTATAAACTTTATCAAGGACACAAACAAAAAGGGATTTTTTAAACTTAAAATAAAAACATGCTTAAAACACTAGCTCTCTTGCAATATTTTGTTTATTTAACAGTGTCTGATAACTGACACCTCTTGCTCTGAATTACTGCATCAAAATGTCTGTGCTGTTGCAATCTTGAGTATGCTCTTCAGGTGTGCACCTGTAAGCTGCAAACCTATGATGACGCAGCAGCAGCAAAACTGGAAGAAGAAGCAGAAGACAGCCAGTTCCACTGCGGGCCTGATAGAAGCCCTCCCTTAAGTGCCTACAGAATCCCAGAGAGGGAGAGATTTAGGGTGGGTGAGATCCACAAATTGTTCACCCCTCCTGTGATACCTGGCTTATTTCATTTAATCAATGAAACTTGTATCCAGGAAATTTTTTGCAGATAGTCATTCAAGCCTTCAAGCCTTATCGCAACCACTTGGCAGTTCTTCTGTTTTCTGGGGGTGGGGGGAGTGATCTGTAGGAAATGAAAAGCCTGCCTGGGGCTTGGCAGGCTTTGCTACTTACCCTGAGCATACAGAGATTCTTTTCCTTTCTTATATTGAGTCACTTTGTGGGGCTGGTGCTTGCCACACTTCTTGCAGTAAGTCCTGCGGGTTTTCGGGACATTCACCTAGCAAGAAAGAGTATCCGCTTCAGAACAGCAATCATGTTTTCCTACACTGTATTTCTTTGGTAATCAAATCCCTCCCCCCACAAAACTCAGGCTCCATCTTAAAGGAACTGTTCTGGAGTGTGCCACTTGTTCTCATGGCAAACAAGCACCTCCCAAGACAGTTCACTTTCCCTGAGATTCTCTGGGAGAGTCTGACTGCTGGGTGCTGCCTGCTTGCCTGCCTTAAGTGCTGCTGGCTGGGTTTCCCCATTGGAGGTAATGGGGGTAACCTGTTTGGGTGCCCATAGAATTGAGCCCACTGGTCCAATTGCTTTGGTACATGGGGGTTTATGTGGGGAGAGGCTCCCGGAGCCTCTCCCTCAAACCCCCTCCCCCGCCCGAGCCACTAACAGCACCATGGGAAAAAAGTAACTTTTTCTCCCACCATAGAGAACAATGGAGGGGACGGGGGCAACCTGTTTGGGGGCCCATAGAATTGGACCCCCTGGTCCAATGTTTTTGAAACTTGATGGGTATCTTGTGGAGAGGCTCCAGCAGGTACCCTGTGAGTTTGGAGCATCCCCCTCAAAACCCCTCTCCTCCAGTCCTGAGAATATACCCTATGTTTTCGCCATTGACTTCAATGGCCCACAGGATATAATGGGGCTGAAATTGACATTTGGCTGGCCAAGACTCCCCAATCAGCTCCTACTGACGAAACCGACATGCGGGAGTCTTACTGCCAGCTGAAATCGATTCGGCTGAATCCAAATCGGCTGGATTTTTTTTCTGCACACCCCTAATAGGGAATTAGAGACTGAACTGCAATCCACAAGTCCCCAGTTCAAACCCGACCACTTTTATAGACCCTTTAAGTACCCTTAAGGCAAGACGTTATCTTTCAGTATCAAGATGGCTTAATTCTCACTTTTGCTGTAAGCTTTACTGACACTGTACATTATGCACTCTGAACATTTTAAAGGGCTATATAATTTTTCTTCTGGACTGTAGTACTTCAGGGAGAAATC